TTCTATGAAAAAGGCTAAAAACAGTTAGACAAACTCAGATCATACTGTATATCCTGCTTCATGTGTTTAAACCTTCCACTTTCCTCTTGCATGTCCCCAGTCTCCACAAAATTGCTGCAACGACAAATTCCTTCCCATTTGTTACCGGCAAGTAAAATCAATTCTGATCCACCTTCACGCTGAACAAGCTGAACAGCTCCCATACTCCTAAAAATAAGCCTCGACGACGCCATTTCTGTGTCTGATAGGATATCGGGCCGGGACAAATGGGCATCAGAGGGAGACAGAATGCTGGCAGGGTTTCTAAAGAGGCCACAGTGTTAGACTACGAAGAGCTGGACATAAAGTTTGCGTCAGGCCCCTCTGACGTCACACAGCTTACAGCTCCACAGGGGATTGTGAAGCATAATAGGTAGGGAGAGAAATAGTTCTGTGTGCAAGGTAGGTCAACATCCAGCTTTGAGAGAGTTTATTTTTTTCAAAGTAATGTTTAAACCCCAGGGGCCAAAGGGAAAAGAACTCTAGATTCACGACTAAAACTGTGTGTACTCACAAAGATAGAAATACGCATCATTTTTGTCAGATTAGAAATCTCAATCATTGTGGAACAATCCCCAACAGTTCACAGTAGGAAAAGCACAGGTGTAAATAATAAAATGAATGATAGTGTAATTCCATTTAGCTGCTTCGTGTTTCAGGATCCTGGTGTTGTTCACACTGTCATGGCTTACAAGGACACTTGAATAGAACAGAGCCATTGTTAATGCCGTTAGTAACACCTGTCCTTGTCCACTGTGACAAGTGAAGATATCTGCTGTGAAAAAGGCCTACTTTTGTCCACTCTAGCAATTTTCTAATTAAAGCCTGCAGGTGTTAATCAGTGTATTGTTAAATACTGAAGTAAACAGAAACAAACAGACACAGTCTTGTTTTACAGCATCTGACTGAAAAAGCCTAATCAACGTGTTCCATCATTCTTATTTGGATTTTGGCTACTGTGTTTTCCCACATACATAATGCATCTTTAGAGTTAATGTAAGCTCTCATTACAACAGTCATAAGACAGCATAAGTACGAAGAAGAGCTCAATTATTATACTGTTCAGAATCACATCATCCTTTTCACTGGGTCGTCATGTTTTGCTGCCTCTTTCAAACACCACGTTGTAATGGTAAATCCTGTGCAAGGGTCTACACTACAGTACCATTAATGCTTCCAAAATCTCTCAGACTCCCTGGAGTCCCAACTTTTCTGACAATAAACAAAATCCAGGTTGTTCCTACAGTGTATGGTTATAATGCATTATACATTATACATACGGGATTCATGTGAATTCTTACTGTTTTTACTAATCCAGCTTTTGACTTTATTACAACCTACAATGCCAGTTGGCGTTTGTGAGCTGTCAGGCTAAAAACAAGCGTACCACCCGTGGATCAATACTGGTCAAAGCTCTTACTGCAATCACTCATCTTATCAGGTCGAGGTTCATGTTCGTTTGCTATCAACACACAGGTGTCATGTTCTGTGTTCAGTGTGAGAATGGCCAAAAGCAACAAAAGAAAGCACCAGTCGAATTAGCGTCATTTTAATTTTTTTGATGTGAACTAATCAAACCAATGTAAAATCATTCACTTCCTGTCAAGCTGACCGCTTTAATTTTACACTACAGGTCCAACAGCTCCATAAGGTAACCTTGATACTTGGAGACAAACATCTGACCTTAATTACTATTCTGTCAAAATAATGCTCCATGCCCTCTTGAAAGCTTTCTAATGAACAATTACGTAGATTTTTATTCCTTCAAGGGGCCACTGGTCAGCTGACCTTGGACTTATATACTGTATATCTGGAGACTGTTATCACGATTCTACTGTACAGATGTAGTAAACGTACACACAATCATGCTGCACACAAAGTGGGACACACAAGCAGCTGTGCCCCAATTGCAAATACACACACAAAACTGAATAGCTGTCATTGGCCCAACAGGGGAATAAACACACACCATTTTGACCAATGGGCCTTGTAATTGTACAGCCAGACTCTCTGAGTGAGAGTGTGTGTGTGTGTGTTGTGTGTGTGACTCTCTGAGTGAGAGAGTGTGTGTGTGTGTGTGTGTGTGTGTGTGTGTGTGTGTACACATGTCTCCAAGAGAAAGACCTCTAAATTTCCCACAGTGCAAAACATCATTTACAGCCCACTCTATGCCTTACACTGCACACCTCTCTCACCAGGCTTAACCGTTCGCATACCAACTCGCTCGATAACTTAACAGTGCAAGATACTGTCCACCAGCTTAAATCATCCAAAGCGATTACAGGCCAAGTTCTGTATGTGATCACCCATGAACAACTGAAAAAGAAAATCTACAAAGCTGCAGAATAACATTCTAGGCCCCATTTTTGGGGCACTGCAATGACCAGTGCAAGCTGGTTCCCTAAATGTGCTTGTGCCCAGTGCAGAGGGAACGGTAATTTTTAAAAAGCAAATAAAATACTAGGTATGCAGTAATAACTACATAATAACCAAATAATGCTTGTAATGTGTAATGTAAAAAAATAAATATTCAGCACTGTCCAATCAGTAGATCTATTTAAATCAAAAAATAACATGTAATGTGATTAAAGCAGGAACATCTGTAAATCAGTCTGCACTGATAAATGAATGATGACTATAAATGAATGACTGATTCTTACAGTCTGTATGAAAAGCTTCTCCTTCAGTTCATTAAATGCCTGCAGCCATCTGAAGGCAACAGGATACATGTGTTGATAAATCTGCAGCACCAGAGCACAGTGCCATTGCACACAACTGTCCACCATTTTCACCTTCATTAAATCACATGCAAACGACACCAGGCTGCTGCAAAATAACCACACACACACCTCTACTCACGTCAGACATGCATTACTAAGCAAATGTCACTGTATCACACTTTCAGACATGATTTAACCATTTACAAAGTGACCTGCAGTAGGATTAAGAGTGAAATAGTGTTGGACTGATGCAATCATTTAAACTGCTTCACTAAACTATTTATATCTATAAACTTCTTTCTATCATCATTTTACCAGTAAACTACACTACGTTGCACACCCAGCACACCCTCTGATCCATATTCCACTGCAGCCAGCCGCTTGCTGCACATACATGAACCAAAATAGCAGGTGAGCTTGAAGGCGCTCCATGCACCCTAGATCAAGGACACTCCACTGTATCAGGACTCGGGCTGCACAATATGGTTAAAACGTCATATTGCAAAACGCTAAATGCTAAACTAATGGCAAGAAGCACCCTGAATATTCTTACAAGTAAATATAGTGTGCTAACAAATTTAGAAAATTAAGTACACAAAAAAGCTGCAAGTGCATCCATTGCCATACATATCCCAATCACATTACCAAAAAAAAGGATTCTTTTTCAAATCCATCATTTTGCAATTAGTGCCATCTTAAAAGATGGATTTAACCCCGCGCCAGGGTTACATTCAAAGCCAAATTCTCCCTGCATAAAACACAAAACGCTCTCTTTAGTCGCAGGTCTCTGAGCCCAGAAATGTGAAAGGACGCATTCTTCTTACAAGTGTACAAATGAGGGTCTATGGCCTGAAAACGCTCTGAGCAGTGAAAAATGTTACACGCTGATTTAGCATGACTTTCTGATAGTAATGCCCATTTCAGCCAGCTCCTATTACCTCTTTTAAATCAATACCAGAGTCACATGTAATGATGCCTTCTAATTCAACATTTCCCTGAAGCCTGACACTTTGGCAGGCACTGCGTGGTAATTCCACTGATGTCCTAACGGCAGCAAGGTGGTACATTTTCATTTAGACGAATTTCTACAATAGGTGCATTTTTTGTGAGCATTATGCATGACTACGTAGCATTTGCCATCATTACAACGCTAGCGCTCTGCAGCCACGAGGCAATGAAAGAAGAAGGTTGGTTGCACCGCAGTGGATCAAACGACAGCTTTATGAGAGCTGAAATACACTGTGGCCATTCATGAGGGAAAGCAGTGAGGTTCCTCTGTCAAAGCGTAGCACGGGTAGCCTCCAGCAGAATGTAATGAATTAGCACTGTAATAAAGACGAGGGTAGCCAGTGATTTGCTGCTGTGTCCTGGCTGTTTAAAGACAGATGTCCCCTCAAAGCACAGTGTGAAGCATCAGTGATCTAATTCGTCTCTTTAACGGATTGAAATTTTGGTAATGTGGAGGGCCAATTGACCAATCATTAGCACTACCCCTACCCTTAATGAACCAATCACAGCTTAACACAAACTTGGACGACCTCAGACATCTTTCTGCTGTGGGGCCTCGGCTGCCAAGCGCCCAAACTAACAATGCAAACCACAAAGACACTTTTTGGTTTGCAATACTTCAGGAAATATGATTGATTCCTATCACTCTCATATGTAAGTGTTTCACAAGAAAGCAAATAAGTCCAAGTGTCAAACTCTTCCTTTATAGAAACGTTACCATATTTTTTCCTTGCGGGTACCTGAACTGAGTACTGGTACCGTGTTCTTGGTGACACCTTCCCCGATTGCAGTAGGTGCATAAATGAATATGTATGGATATCGCTGAATTCCAAAAGTAGTGAGTAAACTTGAAGTCAAGGTTAAACATTAGGAAGAACTGTGCAGATAACAGAATAGTGTCTTAGGATGAGGCTTCCAGTATTCTATATTTTTCTGATTGTCAAGAAATTCCTGAAAAGACCAAAACTGACAACGTGTTAGTCTGTTTCTAAACCTTCCCTGCATGTCTGTGACACTCACCTCAAAGTAAAACATTAATCATCAATTATAATCAACTGTCCCACATTTCCTGTTTTATTAGTTCCATCTATGAAAACTAACATGGTTCCCTTAGCAACTCAGCAAGCACTGGATGGACAGCGCTACAGGAGAGAGACTCAAACCACGGCTCAGCACAGGGAACATCCTTAACCTGCTGAATTACCCCAGACATAAGATGAGCAGAGAAATTACCCTGTCCTTCATCCTCCAGCTCTGTGCTAAGGCCTTGGAGCCCTCGATCTTCTCCGAGTGCCGTTTCTTCATGAAGGCCAGTGGAAGTTTCCAGTCATTCATGTCAGCCTCCTCTTCTTCTGCGAGGCCCACAGCCGGCGAATGAAGCAAGTCTGAGTCCATTTTCATCAGGGCCCTGCGGGGGAGAGCTCTTGTTAGTGACACAGATTTCATTTGAGTTTCTGTGGCCTGTTGTGGTGGGAAACTAACACTAAAAACATACTCTTTACTCTCACAGCAACGATAAAAATGCCTGATACATTAGCCACGTTCCACTTACCTAATGTATAAGATTTCAGTTGCACTGATTCTTGACTTATATTTAAGAAAATCATCCCTTGGAGGAATTAGAGGGAGTCGTCTTCTCCACCATGATGCCACCTGTAAGTATGTGTATGCTAAAGCCAAACCGTCTGGCAAGAGGACGATATTATGCAATATTGGAAGACCCAGAGAGTCCGTGCAGCCTCGGGGCGGGTACTCAATCAATATGAAAAATAAATACAGTTCCTCAAATGGAGTGGTGGATCAAAATAATAAACTGCAGAGTAAAAACACACCGCAATACTTCGACCACCAAAATCAAAATACACCAAGTACTGTCAGTACATGATCAGATCACTGTAGTAATCTTGTTTACTTATTCATTGATTAGGTAGTTCCTAATTTAAATTCCTCAGTGCAGCTATATTGACAGAGAAAGCTGCAAAATCTGATAGCTGGTATCAAGGAAGAACTTCAGGTTAGTTCAGTTTGTAGCTAAAAGGTAACAATAAGTGAAAAAGAAAGGAATTAATTTGCTAGTGAACGACCGATATTGGTTTTTAAATGGCTGATTCCGATTTACAGAGCAGGGCTGCCGACGGCCGACATATAATGCCAATATCAAAACGGAGAAAGCCATGTGTAATTGATTCTACTCTATAGGAAATTCAGGTATACGTATGTTTACAGCCAGATGCATGACAGTTACAAAACAGGGCTTCAACCCAACATTTTCACCATCTACCCAAAACTCACATGGGAGAGCACTTCCATTGTTCCACAGCAGCTACACTGACCAGGGTGCCTGCAGATGTCTGGTCAGACATTTTTAGTTTATCGGCCTTGTGAGTGCAGATATTCGCCGCTGCCAAATAACTCCAAATGCCAGATAATCGGCCAGATGAATCGGTCTATCACTAGTCAATATAGCCTGCACTGAATAAGTGAACGCTTCAGTTGACTACATTTACCATCAACACTGTCTGGACATCCATTGGACATAAAACATGGTACATTTTCCCTTTAACGTTTTGGAATGTTTGGCTCTTTTTGTTAAATGAAGAAAAGATTTGTAGAGTAACATTTTTGATATCAAAACAGAGTAGGCATCATAATGAGTATGAAAGAAATTCAAACAACACAAACAATTACACAACTCATGGCCGAGCTTCTAAAGGGCTTTTAGTGCAGTTGTGATGTTCCGAGCAAAAAACTCTTCCTCTAGGAAAAGCTCTGCTGCTGCCATAGAGTTGAGCTTGCATTTTGCTGTTTCACTTCTAGTGTAATGCTAGTGAGGCATTTACCCTATGGCTGTGAAAAGAGAAAGACACCAGTGGGCGTATGCTGGTTGTGAATACCTTTTATGACACCAATATCTGAGAATGTGAAAAACCTCAGTGGCTGCTGAGTTTTCCAGTTTATGACGGGTATATGAGTCATGTGTTCAATCTCCTGCTCGAGTGAAAATCACAACAACTGCAACCAAACACACGCACATCTGGATTCCTTCAGGTCAACAGTGAACTTTTGCTTTGAGCAGTGTAGCTGCCTGCCCCCTCACTGTAGCATCAGGTTGGTATCACACTGTCACCCAGGGCAACAGCACCTGGGGGATGTCATGGTGAACACTGCTCGAGCCACAGACGAGGGGCTACTTGGGTTGTGTGTTCTATGTTAATACGGCCCGGCTGTGTTAAGGTTGAGTCCACAGCTGGAGCTCTTTGCTAGCGAGCAGCTGGAAGGACAGATAGCGAATAAAGCGGTCAGCTAGCTAAGTGCTAGCTCAACTAGCGCGGCTAATGTGACAGCTCTCCCTGAGGCTGGCTCTGGTTCTGACTCTGGTTATCGCTCTGGTTCTGGTTCTGGTTCTGACTCTGGCTCTGGTTCTGGCTCTGACTCTGACTCTGGCTATCGCTCTGGTTCTAGTTCTAGCTCTGGTTCTGGCTCTCGCTGGCAGCTGTCAAACAACATGACAGGCTAATGCTATTTAAAGCTCTTTTTCTCCAGGCTGCTTGCGAAACAACACGAGCAGAGAGCAAAGTGAGACGGAGCAGATGTGCAGAAATGGCGCTAGTGGTGGCAGCGAGGCGTGCAGATGCGTGCAGACCTTGGTGCGGTGGGATTATCAACCCGGGCTGAGGAACCTCTCCGTCTGCGGACGATGACAGACACGGTCGCACAAACAATCCTGGTCAGAAAATGGTAGGGCAGCGTCCACAGCCTGTATAGTATGTCAAAGCCGTCAAATCCGAGCTGGACGGGTGCGTGTTTGCAGGGGAATCTGCGGCTCCTCTCCCCACGGCTCTTCGCTATGGGAAGGGGCTGGAGACGAGGCCCATCTTCACACGGACAGTCTGCCACAGCCACACGAAGCACCGGCCACACTTATCGACGACTGGGGTCTTATGGCCTTGTTCTACAAACCAGCGACCCTGGTAGCTGATTTGGTGCTTTGGTTTTCGCGGAAATCACACACAATCCCGAGAATTTCTCCGGAGAGGCACTTCTTCAGCACTTCTGCAAGGGCGCAGCCATCTTGGGTTGGACCCAGAATGCACCGTTGGGGCGGCGAGGCTGTCATGAAACGTCACCGCTGTTGTTCCTGTCACACCAAAATATAAACACACATACTGACTGAACATAAAGCTAAAGAAATATGTGTTTAAAATGCGCTATAGCACATACCTACTACTATTTTTGTGGCACTCTTCGTTAATATGGATGTCAGTTGTATTTTATTTTCTGAAATGTGTCCTATAAGTTACACTCATCTCTTTAACTTTTCTATTTTCAAGTCTGTGACCAAGGTGAATCTTTAATTTTTTTTTTCTCTCTTTTATTATAATACCTTGTGTGGTCTTTTTTCTCTTCTTTTTTATATAAA